GCCTCATAGGGTGGTGGGCTTTCCTTGATCATTTCCAACACAGATGGGTTTACTAAGGACATCTGCTTGCTTTCTTGTCAGAGACAGTTAACAGGTGTAATTGCTACAGTTATAAGGCACTGTACAGTTCTTTCTATGAAAGCCCATTTTATTCTTCAGGTAAAAACACTACAGAGGAATCACATTCAAACCAATTAAAGATCCTACACACATGCTAAAAAGCTCACCAGAGTTCAATTTAGGATGCTGGTAGGTACAGTCCTTCAACCCTCCACCACCACCACTCAGGTGGATTCTTTGCAGTTACCAGTTCATCAGAGTTTCAGCTCAGAACAAGCACACAGTCTTATGAAAACTCAGTGGCTATGTCTACATTGGCATGATCTTGCGCAAATACTCTTTAACGCAAGAGTTCTTGCGTTAAAGTATTTGTGCAAGAGAGTGTCTACACTGGCAGGTGCCTTTGCGCAAGAGATGTGCTTTTGTGCAAGAGCATCTGTGCCAGTGTAGATGCTCTCTTGCGCAAGAAAGCTCTGATGGCCATTTTAATCATAGGGCTTTCTTGCGCAAGAAATTCATGTTGCCTGTCTACACTGGCCTCTTGCTCAAGAACAGTTGCGCAAGAGGGCTTATTCCTGAGCGGGAGCATCATAGACTATTTATTTCTTTGCTTGTTAGTTCCTGGAGAATCCCCCACTTGGAACTAGTATATGTGTATTTTTGCTTGAAATGGCTGACAACAGTACCTCCTTCGCTACTAGAGAAGGTACATAGAATGCCATAACAGCACATATACAAGTGAATTTTTAATATTATGTGCCTCAAATGTATCCATCCTAATTTAATAACATTTAATCCAGTAAAATGTATCAAGATTCCTTAAGGTTATTACAGGATACTGTCAAACTGTCACATATTTTGTGAAGTCTTGTCCCTTTAAATGTTTGAGCACTGCCCCCCTACTCAGTACAAAGTCTCATTTTTGTGATAAGATTTGACTTTTAATGGAAACTTTTCAGCCAGAACAATAAAGAAAGCATGGCAGGCAGCTGGATTTCTTTCAGCTCCCCCTATGTCTGTGTCTATCTCTTTCTTTGATGGGTCTAAATGTAACATCTAAATGTAACATTAGATCAATCTAATGTTTAACCAGTTAACCAACTAAGTGGAATCCCAGCCTGTGGGGCTCCTGCTCCCAAACCTATGTGGAACTGGCTACTGGCTCCCAGGGCTGAGACTGGCTGCAAGCTCTAGCCCAACACTAGGGCTGGGGCTGCCTGCTGGCTCCCAACCTCCATGCTAGGGTTGGGTTGCCACTGGTTCCCAGCCCCCGTGTTGAAGCTGGCTGCCAGCTTCCATCCCCAGCCACCAATTGTGTGGGGCTGGCTGCTAGGATAGGTGCAGCATTCTGCCCATGGTAGGCCACATCTGGGGTATGTTCCCAGGGAACCGGTTAACTGTTACACAGTAAGAATCACCTGATAAGTCAATAGCTAACAGAGGGAGCACACATACAGACCAAGGAAGAATTCCCAAATCTGCAATGTTGGCACACAGCCAGAAGAATCAGAATGAATACGGATGTTGTTGTTACAGCACTAACAACAACATTCAGGAGGAGTGAAGTCCAACAGGAAATCAAAGAAAATGACAACTTTTATGGGCAATGTTGGTGATTCAACCACAGCCACAAATTATGGGTGATGTACCTTGATTATTTTGAGTAATTTGCAACCTTCAACAACCATTCCAGATGGAAAAAGAGTTTCAACTTTGCTGATGATGTAATTTAAGGCATGTTTACTGTTTTGTGACCTATTGTGTATTGTGCTTGGAACTCTCATGTATGCTGAAGCTACTTCAGGAACGTTTTTCTCCTACTCCTCCAGTGATAGTGGAACAATAATTTAATTACCACCATCAGGGAAGTGGAGAGTTGATAGCATAGTTTGTTGCTGCTCTGAGGAAGTTGTCAGAGCATTGTATGTCTGGAGAAATATTAAGTGACGTGACTAATTAGTCTTTGGATTACACAATGACCAGCTCTGGGAAAAGTTACTGACTGTATCAGTGTTTATATTCAAGAAGGCCGTTGAAGTAGCAGTTGCAATGGATACTACAGAGAAGGGTGCTATGGAAATTAGTGTGTACTGTACTAAGATGCATTGGTGTGACAGAAGTCCACAAGAATGTAAAGAATTTCCATGTGGCTGTTGTGCACAACTTACATACACCGAGAAGGATTACTAGGCATGCCAAGTTATTTGCATGAAGTATAGATGAAAGGACAAATTGCCATGACCTGTCGTAGTCAGAAGTTGGAGTCAGAAATAGCATTTGGGTCACAGCTTTGTTCAAAGAATCTCCTACAAGACTAGAGCTTGTTATTGGAGCTGCTGTTTCACTGATTTTTACATTAACCTATCATCATTCTTTGTCACAATCTTTGGAAAGAATCTCCATATTTTTGAAAATTTATTCCAGAGAAAAATTAGGTTACCTCAAAAGAGATACTCCAGATAGAATTCAGCTAGATGGAAAATCAGATGTGTTACCCTTATATGTGACTGAAGAAAAATATCCACCATTATTTGGCAGCTCTTGACTTGACAAGCACCACGTGAAATGGACTGAGATGAAGATAATCACAAGAGTATCTCAAAATCTTTGAGAAATACTGGACATGAAGTTTTTGGAAAGAGCTTGGAGAAACAAGCAATGTGTCAGTGAAACTCAATTTGGCAGCCACTTAAAATATTGCAAGTCCATAAAAATGCCCTATTCTATGAGGCCTCTGATAGAAGCTGATTTGGACCATTTAGTGAACATTGGCATCCTTTCATTGGTGTCCCACAGTGAGTGGGCTATGCCCATTTTACCAGTGATCAAGCATGATGGCTCCATTCACATTTGTGAAGATTTTAAAATGACACTGAATCCAGTTTTATCTGCAGTCTCATTTCTTCTACCTTGTGTGGAAGGTTTGTTTGCTACTCTGAGTAAAGGACAGTGCTCAATGCATATTGAAAATGGAGATTGATTTGGTGTCTCTCAAATGAATACTGGAGGAGGCTATTTTTGTTGCAACAGGTTGCCTTTGGTATCATGTTGGTACTTGCATGTGTTTCAGAAAGCCATAGATGAAATCCTGAAGGGACTAACTGGAGCTCAGTGCTATGTGAATGGTATCTTTGCTACAGGAAAGAATCAGGGGGATCGTGTTTGAAATTTGGATGGTGTTTTGCAACATTTGGAGTACCATGAACTAAAAGCATGTCAAAACAATGTATTATATTTATTTATTCATGAGTTTTTCAAAAAATCAGTTGAATACTTTGGATGTATCAAAGATGCCATGGACTTCAGGAAATAACCAGAGAAAGAGAAGGCTGTTTTTGAAGTGCCATCTCCAGAAAAAAGTGTCACAATTATGTTCATTCATGGGACAGCTTCATTACTACAGGAAATTTCTGCCTAATCTGGTGACAATACTGGATCATTACATAAATTCTTACAAAGAAAAAATAGAGATAGACTAAAGAATGTGACTGTGCATTTAAAGAAGCAAAGAAACTGCTGACATGAGCCAAGGGTTTTATGCACTTTGATGCTTCACTAAAATTACAATTGTTTTATGATGCTTCCTCACACAGAGTCAGTTCAGTTCTTTCCCATATTTTTCCTAATGGCATGGAGAAACCAATGGAAGAAACTTTAGTACAGATTGAATCTTTGTGGTCCAGGACTCTCTGATTCAGCAACATCTGTTGTCCAACAGAACCACAGGTGTTGCTGGACTAGAGAATCCCTGCACAGAGGTTGCTGGCAGCTGGGAGCGGAGCCGGCTGGCAGGCTAGCAGGATAGGGGAACCCACGGGGCACCAGTGACCGCAGCAAGCTGAGGTGGGAAGCCAGAAGAGGTGCCAGACCCCTCAGTGAAGCAGAGCTCACAGCCAGCGGGGTAGGGGCCACAGAAGTCTATGGGGCAGACGGAGGCTGCCGAGCCCAGCCGGTGAGCCCAGGGAGGAGGGAAGGGAGATGCAGAGCTCACCATCCAATTGATTCCATATTACTAACTGTTCCTGTTATTCAGGACACTTTAGTACTAAGGTCATCATGTTATCCCAAGAGAGTGCAAAAAACAAGTTGTCCACCTGAATTTATAAATTGTTTAGTCAGTAGATGTTTCAGGTAGAATAGTCCCTTGCAGTTTAAGAATCTGTGATAGTCCACCCACATCTTTTAATTATGCAGTGTTTCACATTAGACATGTAAACAATAATGTATATGTTGTTTAGAAAGCTTTTAAAAGTAGGATGAACAAATGTGATGTCCTGTCCTTTTAAATCTTTGAGCACTCCTCCTCCCTCCTCCATCACGAAGATTTTGTTTTCCTGTTTTTTCAGATTTTTAGGCATATCCACTGTGGTACAATTTTTTAGGAGTAAAAATTGTTTCCCTTGAACTATTTTAAAACTGGTCCAAAGTATTTTTAGTCCTAGAGATGTGCATTCAATGAGTTTGAGGGATCTGTAAAAAGGGACCAGTCCTCTCTACAAACAATTTTAAACGTAGCACAAATAGTAAGTTTTTATAAAAACCCAATCTCAGATTTTTTGTTGCAGTACATTTTTATCGGTTTTAATTTAAAACCAGAATACCTATATACTGTAGTCTGAAGCTGCTTCCTTAACTGCTAATGCAAAAATATGTACAGTGTTTTTCTAGGTAAAAGTGTTTATAAAAGGATTGAAAAACAAATTAATCATTTTTCAACTTGTCCAGCCCACTAAATATAAATAAGCATGTTCTAAGGACAACATATCCTAAAACCTGTCACTATCCTATTACAGTGTAAATATTAATACATTAGTTGTGTCATAGGAAGGCACTAAGAGGTAATTGCTTTCAGAATCAAAACATTGTATTAAGTGCACTTATATAAATCTTTTATTCTATGAATAAAATGTGATTTATTAAATCTAAGCAGAAAAGGGCTAATGTGCTGGCTGCTGTTTGTGCAGGACACATTCCCAAATACTTAACTCAGGATTTCATAGTGAATAATCCTTTCCACAGAAATTTGAAACCTTTTGAAGCGTTTGCATTTCTTCAAGTAAAAGATGATTCAGTTTAGTGCAACTTCATTAATCTGTTTAAATATAATTTTTTTCAGTGGAGGAAAAACTGTGCTAGGTAACGTCAGACACTGTTCTACTAAGGTAAGGTTTTCAATTATGTTGATTTGATAAGATAATTAATGCAAATGAATAGAAGCTCTGAAGAGTGCTTTTAAAATGTAGATTGTTTTACCCTAGAATGACTATGATCTCTAGATAAGTTAAGTGTCTTCAGAGAAATAAAAAAAAGTATTAAAATCACAGCAACAACATTAGTTCATTAATAGTGGTGGAACACAGAGACATTCCTCTTAATGAGTGTTATTTCAGTTTTGAATCTTTGGTCATTTTCTAATTTCATTTGCACAAGTGTAATTCCAGAGTAACTCCATGTGGTTCGGTAGAATAATACAGATTTAATCTATATACTTGGGATCAGAATCTGATCCTTTTAAAAATAATTTGGCTGCATGTTTGCTTTTGTTTTTATATAAATGCTGGTTAAAATAATAGACTGACCCCGTTTATTTGAACATGAATGCTGGTTAATACCAAAAGCCTGATTGGTAGCCAGGATAAAATCCTGGACCAAAACTCTATTTCAAGTGATCTGATTACATAACATTTCTTGCTTCACTTTGTGATTATTTTCAACTAAAAGAGTGAAATCTGCACCAAGAAAGATACAATCTTCTCAGGAGACACAAGATACCACTACTAATTCTAGAGATTTTCTAAGATCTGTGCGTTCACAGTCTCTTGTAATTTTTGCTTTCACTTAAAAAAATGAAAAAACAGGTGCCAATGAAAAACATATTCAGTATTATGCCACTGCTGTGCTAGTGTCAGAGGGAGGAATCTGAAGCAGTACCAGAGGAGCAAAAATGCTGCAGAAATATTCAAGAATAAATTAGTTTTTCTTTTAAAATCCTAATACTTTTAAGAGTTGTGTTTTACAACACAATCACAATACAGTGTCTTAACAAAACAATGACATTTTAAAACATCACTCTTTAGAGGGCAAAAAAAAGGAAACGTGGAGAAAACATATGAAAAGTCAATTACATTTTTTTCCTTTTCTGCAAGCCAGCATACCATGCAACATACTTTTGAGTATTTAACCTATATTGTTACACCTATGGTTATCAGATAGCACAAAGGGACAGCAAAAACATCTTTTCAAATTGTTTACTTTGACAGAACTGTGAATAATCAGTTTTCCTTGTTGACAGTGTGGATTTCACAGTGCAAAAGGGGAGTGAAAAACATTTTAAAATTGTGAAAATGTTAATGTACAACCACAATACCCTAGGAGGAGACTGCCTTAAAACTGTTTTTGACCCCCTTCTTTGTTTAGAATTGACTAGATTTCAAGTTGCTAGAGTCCATTTAAACTTTCTGCTTCAGGGGAATTACAGATATTTTGCTGATGTGGTATTTGATTGTAAATATGAACTGACTAAATAGGTGGGTAGAGTTGATTAACTTAGTAGCCTTTTAAGATTGTTTTAAAAAGTCTAACTTCTAGCTCAATCATCCGAGGGGCTGCTAAACAGGAATATTCCATAGTACCTTGCAGGACTGGGCTCAAATCTCTATGGTATTTGCTTTGAATTACTTGCTGGCAAATTATTGTCTTTCATTTTTAAGAAGAGGATATAAAGTCAAATTCAAAATTTAATAGGTCTTTCATTATTTGATATAACAGGGTACATCCAATGGCAGGGTTGTGGAAACAACGCCTAAGACCACAGAGGAAAATACACCAACAGATATTTCAAAACAAAAGGAACAATGTCTTGTACCATGTGATGTTCAAGCTAAAATGTTAAGAGGAGAAAAACATTACATGTGCAGTATGTATTCTTGACCTCTCGAGGTCCCTTCCAGTCCTAGTATTCTATGATTCTAAGAAAATCCACAAACTCACATATGATCTATGTACCTATAGTAAACTGTATGTACTTTAATTTTTCCCAAGCACATGGGCCAGCACCATGCCTTGCTACTCTGTTTAGGCACTTGGCAGAGGATTTACTGATGGGCATAAAAGTGCTGAGACAGTGGTTATCCTTTCTGCATATACCCAGTTGGAAGAGGACTTCTTGTGCTCTCTCCCCTTCCTTGTCAACTCTGCAAAGCCTGCAGCAATATGCCACACAATATTCTAACAGGTCTCTGTCTCTTCTGGACTATATTAACATACCTTATTTGTTTTCTCTCTGTGGGTATGTCTACACTACAGTGTTATTTTGAAATATCTTATTTCAAAATAGTTAGTTCGAAATAGCTTATTTTCAAATAACACATCTACATACAAAATGCATTTCGAAATAGCGTTTTGTTATTTCGAAACAGCTCGTCCACACTAAGTGGACACTGAATTGCATTGAAGGCCAGCTGGAACCTGGTCCAGCAGGGCATCAGGTCAGGAGTTTATTTGTGTGGCTGCTGCCTGAGGCTATCTGAGGCTTGTGCTTAAAGGGACCTCCACCCTGGGCAGCTGGTTCTCAGCTTTCCCTGCTTGCTTGTCTACCTCGATGAGGGACAGCAAAGCATTTGTGTCTCTGCGTGTTCTGATTGCCCTCACTCGGGACACCACAGCACTCTGCAGCATGGAGCCGGAGCTGCCCCTGGGCACTCTGGTGCTTCTTGTGAATGTGTTGCTGCGAGCCTGGCTGCACTTTCTGCAGGCTGCCATCCAGGAGGTCCATCGGGGGGCTGTCAGTATCCAGGAGGCCCTGCAGGAGAGCTTCTACCCTGAGGAGCACAAAGAGCCTCCCTGGTCTGCCCCACTGGGGGCATGTGCTTCATTCGTCACCCACATCGTTCCACTTACCCTCCCAGCCCCCCTTCCCAATGTCAAATAAAATAAAATACACGCACTTTCATCAACACAAACAAAACTGAGGGGGGGTGATGAAACTGTTGAGACTGGAGAAAGGAGGTGGGAGAGGGGAGGAAAGAGGGTGGGGGAGGGGAGGGAGAAACCTGGGATGAGGGAGCTGGCAGGGGGGGTGGAAGGGAGGAAGGGAACAAAACTGAGGGGGGGTGATGAAACTGTTGAGACTGGAGAAAGGAGGTGGGAGAGGGGAGGAAAGAGGGTGGGAGAGGGGAGGGAGAAACCTGGGAGGAGGGAGCTGGAAGGGTGAAAGCAAAGGGAAGAAGGGAGAAGGGAAGCTCAGGGCTCAGTGTTGGGGGTCTTGCCTGACCAACTTGATTTTCATGCGAACCTGCTCCTGGGTTCACATGTGGCCTTTGGTGGCCAGGCTGGGAGCTATCCTGCCATAGATGGCCGCATTCCTCCATCTAGTGCGGAGATCATGGATGTTGGGGGCATCCCCCCCAAACCTAAGAAAGGTCCACCCTGATCTCCACCCTGGACCAGGAATGTGCCCGCCTTCTCCATTCCCTGGCAGGCTCCTGGGAGCTGTCAGACTGCTCCTGGGTAGTGGCAGAGGGCTGGCTGCTAGTGGCTTTTTTGCTCTCTAAGGGCTCCAGGAAGGGTGAGGGAGGGAGGGAGGAGAGTGTTCTTTCTTGAGGCTGGAGTGGCCACCAGGGCACCATGGGAAGGCTGGAGGCCCCCTATTTTGAAATAAGTGTCTACACAGCACTTATTTTGAATTAGCTATTTTGAATTTGGCATTATTCCTCATAGAATGAGGTTTACCAAATTTGAAATAAGTGCTCCACTATTTTGAATTTATTTCAAAATAGCGGTTTGGCTGTGCAGATGCTAGTAAAGTTAATTTGAAATAACGGCTGGTATTTTTAATTAACTTTGATGTGTAGACATACCCTGTCTTACATTGAGATCTATTGACATGTGAACAAAGCCCAGAATCACGAGTGCTATGGGGAGTGCCTATCAACATGACTGCTATGGGGATGAAGAAATTTAGATATATATCTGTCTTTTCTCATTTGCATTTTTATTTCTAAGGAATCATTTATGTTGGTATCTAATAATGCTATAAAAGGGTGAGATTCATCCTTGGGCAGAAAGCCTTGCAGACAGATCTTCTGCTGAATGGGCACAGCTCCACTGGTCAATGGGGCTATACCAATTCATGTCAGCAGAAGGCCTAGTCCAGAGCTTATGTACCATTTAGGTCTCATTTAAGCACTCTAAAATGAGACCTCTGCAGTGTTCACTTAAATTTTACAAAATAAGTATGACATTTAGACAGTTTATAATGGTTCTTCAGTTTTAATATTATAGTGAATAGCAATAACTTTTTTTTCTAGGAAATTTGCAGAACTCTCTTGTTGAATATGCAAGAAGTACAAAAAAACTGGTAAGAAATATGATGGATGATCAGCAATCTTCTTTGGATTATCTTTCTAATCAGGTACTAATTTTTATTTATAATATTAACATCTCCTTTCATTTAGGATGCACATTAATAGTTATTATGTCACTGAGGTAAATCCAAATATTTATGGCATGTAAAACACTACTATTCTGCTTTGATAGTGTCTTACAACCACTGTACACTCACTTTGCATAGATATAAGGTCCCAGACCAAGTCCCACTGGAGTCCACTGAAAAATTTCTCATGACTTAAATGTCAGCTGTATCAAGTCCTAAATATCAGAGGGGTAGCCGTGTTAGTCTGAATCTGCAAAAGCGACGAAGAGTCCTGTGGCACCTTATAGACTAACTGAAGTGTAGGAGCATAAGCTTTCGTGGGCAAAGACCCACTTCGTCAGATGCATGTCCTAAATAGTTACCCAAATGTAATGCAAGTCCTAAATAGTTACCCAAATGTAATGCACTGGAAAATCAGATAGTCAGCATGGCCTATGGATATGCAAAGTGTGCATCACCATGCATCACAGAAATGAACTACAGAATATCAGTATGAGGGAAGGAGCAAGTCCTTATTCAAATCTTAGTGCTCCTGTCTGAGTGTATTTAAACTCTTGTTTACTTCTAAATGTATAGGTGAATGAACTTATGAACAGGGTCCTTCTTTTGAATGCAGAAGTTTTGAGAAAACATTTGGATCCACTTCCTTACAGAGCAGTTCAGTCTCATGGTAAGGGATTTTTTTGTTTAATCTTTACATTGTTTCCTTTTATCTTTATAAGTGTCCTGATAAGGAAATGAGAAAAGCCAAGTCAAGAAGGTATGGGATTTATAATAACTACTCAGAAATTATTTGTATTGCATAAGCTTTGGAAAACTTGTGAATTATTTTAACATCTTAATTTTGCAAAAGTACTTTGGAATCTTTTTATGAAAACTTATGCCAGATAGATAATATTTGTGGAAAATATCAGGTTTGCTGTTACAGAGGGCTTGATCCTGTGAGGTGCTGAGTTTCTTCAGATTGGGAGTGCAGGGTGGTTCAGCCTCTTGCAAACTCCTGCTTACTTATTCACACTGGGTGAAATTCATGCCTGTGCATCTGGTCAAATATAAGACTTGAATTGTGCTTAAGACCTCCTCGTGCTGATGCTTCCAGGGAGAGGAATTTCATTTCTAAGCAGTTCCATTGGCTTCAATGAGGCTGCTTGCTTGAGTAAGTCAATCTGGATTTGTCCCAATACTTGTAAGCAAAATATTTTTGACATATGATAATTTAAAAATCCTTTCAATCCTATAAATCTAAATTTTTGCAAGTGGGGTTCAGTAGTTGCTTTGCATAAAGGGATTTATCTTGCAGTCATTACTCAGGCAAAGCTTCCATTAAGTCACCTTTGCCTGAGTAAGATCTGCAGGATCATACCCATGGTGTGTAGTCTTTTATACAGTGATAGTTACAGTTAGAAAGATCTACTGTACCTAATATTTCGTGTGTTACCTATTTCTGACTTTACTATATTCCAGGGAATTCTAATTATTATTTTCTAAATAAATCTCTGATAAAAGATACATTATGTTTTACTCAACAATGAAATTTAATTTGAGATCATTCATACATTTACAGCTAAGTGCTTTCCTTTTGTAGAATGTGTATTTATTATTACAATGCTTATCCTAAATTACATTGAATAATTTATTCTCTAGGACTGGATTGCACTGATATTAAAGATACCATAGGTTCTGTTTCAAAAACTCCGAGCGGTCTGTACATAATCCATCCAGAAGGATCAAATTACGCTTATGAGGTAATAAAATTATCTCAGATATTGGGCTTCACTTGAGAATACATATATGTTTAATAACTTAGAAGTATTTTCCTTGGCTATTTCTCATTGTGAATAAGAATTATATTAAGAGCCATCTAAATGGCTCTGCCATAATTACAATTTTCAAATCTTTCTCAATTCCAACAAAGAAAATAATTTCAGTTATAGGGCCATATTCTCTCCTTTCATGTACAGCGAAAACCTCCTGTAAGAAAACTTACTTTCTTAGGTCGGGGTGGGCAAAAAAGGCTTCTGGGGATCGGGTCCGGACCACCAAGCAGGTTGATCTAGCCCGCAGTGGCCCTGACACTTCCCTGCCCGTAGGCCAATTAGAGCACAAAGTTTCCTCTGCCCTGCAATGAGCGTGCGGCGCTTAGAAATGGCATGCACTCCTGGCAGCGCAGAAGGAGACTTTGCATGCCCCCTCCCACCCATAAGCCCTTATTGGCCTGAGGGTGGGGGAGCATGCAAAGTTTCCTCTGCCTTGTCCTCCCCCCCCATACAAGAAACGTACGGCGCTTCTATGCGCCATGTGTTCCTGGCAGGGTGGGAGGAAACTTTGCATGGTCCCCCACCCCCAAGCCCTTATTGGCTTGGGGGCAGAAGGAGAAGTGTGCAAAGTCTCCTCCCACCGCCAGGGGCATGGGCACCTAGGGCGAACCTTAGTGGGGGGGCAAAGACTTCATGCACTCCCCCAACCCCAGACCAATCAGAGTCTATGGGTGGGGAAGCAGGGAAATATCCTGTCCCTGTCCCTTCCACTTGAGGCCCTGCCCCTTCTGGTGCACCCCAGGGCTACTTCAACAATTTCTGAACTGGCCCCGGTAAAAAATTATTGCTCATCCCTGTCTTAGGTACTTTATATGGCTCCATCAGCATAGTAGCTGAGTTCTTTATAATACTGCTTATCATTTCAACGTTCACTTAAAACTATTTAAAAAAATTAAACAGAAGGCCAGAATTTCTATTATTATCAAACATTATTACAGTTAGCACAGAAAGGAATATATCTGTTAAGTGGTATTTGGTAACATTAGCAGTCCTGTGTTTGAAAATCAGGGCTTTACTATTACTTTCACAGTAATAGTCTAAAATAAATACAAACTTTTAATGTTACAAGTACTTGTGATTTTCCTTTTACAATTTTGTTAAAAACCTTTTACCAAATTTTTCAAGTCCAACACAATACAAATTCTTCACAGCAGGACTAAGTACCATCCCTGATAGATTTGCCCCAGATTCTTAAATGGCCCCCTTAAGGATCAAACTGACAATCATGGGAATACCAGGCTAATGTTCAAACCACTGAGCTATCCTTCCCATACACAGCTATGAAATAAATAATATAACTCAACTTCTAACATGGCAATGATGCACTGTTTTACAAGTACAATATTTGACATTTTCACTTAGAAGAGATAACATCTATTATATATTTTGAAGAGTTTGTTTGTGGATCTGTTTGTGCAAAATAAAGTCACACTTTATGATTACCTACAGATACCACATTTTGCATAAACAATCCTGCCACTTAAATTAGCTAAATGCACTACTTTTTACACCTGAATATGCTGGGTGAAAGATTTAAATAATTATTATTGTTTTTCATTGGAAAAAAGGCATGTCTGTTATTATTAGAGTTCATAACAAATATTTGCTAACAAAAATTAAAATCAAGTCACCTATTCAACTGTCATCATTTTAGTGCAAAGAAAATTTTTACTGTTATAAATCACAAAATAATTCAAATTAGTTATGAAAAGGGTAATGGAAACTTTACGAGTTTCTAATTCAAATTTACCATGTATTGTAATTATTCAATAAAATGAATAATGTTTGAAGTTGAAATCCTACAAATTTAAAACTGTACTTTTACTTCCTTTTTGCAAGCACATTAATAAAATAGTCTTTTACATATATTTAATTTATTGAACATTCCTATAAGTATAATCTACACAAAGTGACTTTGCCTGGTCAATGACAGGCTTCACTTGATAGAATTAATATATATTTTTAGAGAAAATTACTCACTTCTGTCTAATTTGGTGCCCCTTAAAGTTAGGCATCCTAAGTGACTGTCTAGTTCTCCTATATGGCTGGTCCAGGCTGGAGCCTTGTCACAGTTTTGGAGTGACTGTATTTTGTCTCCCTCCTGTGGTCTTCTCTAGGAAAGCCATTAAGCTCTCAGGCCATTGCCTCTTTATGTCCTCTCTTTTCAGATTGGGGCTTTTAAGTTGTCCCTGTAGTTCATTGTGGTTTTCCCAGAAACAGGTCTGACTTGGTCTAGCCTCTGCATTGTGCTTTCTCTCCATAGGTTATGGCCAGCTCAAAGTATCCAGGAAGTTGATTTACTCAGGTCCCCAAGGATTCAGGAATCTCCAAGTTTTGTAGAGTTAGCATGGTGAGCTCTATGCCCTCCTCCTCTTGGCTCCCACAGAAGGGACATTTTCAGAGGAAAGAGGTCCTGGCTAGAATGCTGCAGTGTTCCTGCAGACTCTGGTTGCAGGAGAAGTTACATGGGACCATCAGCAGCTGTGTGCATCACAGTGCAGTCCCGAGGCTGCTGTAGTTTGTGCTGAGATCGAAGCTGGCTCCCATCCAGACTTAGGCTCTGGAAGTGGCAAAGGGGGTCAACATTACAACTCTTTTCCTTTGCTGTGTTGGATGATGCTGTGGCACAGCTAAGGCTCATAAACTTTCCTCTGCTTTCACTCAGCAGAACATGGAGACAATTTACTAAACTCACTGTAGGACTCCTTCCTTTGCTTTTATTGTTATCAATTATTAAGCAACTACATTGTACTCAGTATTTACTCTTGTTGTCATGAGTACTTACACGGACTTACATCTCTAAGGAGTTCGGCTTCATTAGTGTTAGTAACCTTAGGAACACTGAGGTAAACAGGTCACTATCTGCAACCGTCCTGTAATAATCAGACTTTCTTTTAACAAGATTAGATGATGCAGTGCTTAAAATGGGGCACATTGTTCTTCTTTAGAGTTCCAAATGTTAATAAAACCTGGGCAGCTGAAATAGCATTAGATGTGGTAGGAAATATTTGAAAAATGTCTTTAGTTCACACAGGCCTTGACAATGGGTGAGTTTACCAATATTTGAGTCAGGGTTAGTTGGGGTTCAAAAGGTTTTGAATGCCAGGAGAAAATGTAGCATATGATGTGATATTCTCTACTGGGGAATATGATCTCATATGCATTTTGCTGATGTGTCTGAAAATAAACTCTTTACTTCCTATACCTGGTGAGTCCTTCAGATAGGAGTCTGTTTTTTGCATGCATCACAAACAATACTAGAAAAGACAAAAGAAATTTCAGATAAATTATTTGAAAAAGTAACTTAAGAGGGTCAGTAAGAAGCAAAGGAGGAAAAAGCACAAAATACTGCTGAAATATTTCAAGTTTCAGAGGGGTAACCATGTTAGTCTATAACTGAAAAAACGTAATAAACAAAAAATGGTCCTGTAGCTAGATAAGTAATAGTGTAGTTGATTAACCAATTAACTAATAAGCAAAAGCTTATAGATTAATGCTATAGATGACATGCATTCCTCCAGTCCCCACCAGTAAATTTTTTAGCGAGCTGGCCAGCAGCCTGGCTCATTCTTGGCTTGCACCAGGTTGCACGAGGAGTAATCGTAGTTTGAATTAGAGATCCTAATTCGAACTACCTACTCCGTGCCGCGTGTAGCCGCGGGCACAGTGTTTGGACTAAGGGGGATTTAAAAATGGCCGCGCCCGGGAAGATGCAAATGAAGCCCAGGATATTTAAATCTCGGGCTTCATTTGCAACTTCGAATGCCTACATTAGCCTCCCTAGTTCAAACTAGGGGGCTAGTGTAGACATACCCATAGGGACTAACAAAAAATGTAGATAATATCATGAGCTTTCATGGGCACATTTTAATACACACTCACGGCAAGATATTTTCAATTCAAACTGATATAAATACCCGCAAAGTAGAATGTTTACTAGTGTGTGGGTCTGTGTCTATACACATACTTCCCACAACATATTTGATAATATATTTATTCATGTATATGTAAGGTGCAACATTATTGGTTCCAGCCTTTTATCTCAAGAGTACTTTTGCTGATACATTTTAAGGGGATGCTATTTTAGAAAATTCTGAATGTCCTGGTTTTTAAAAGTAAGAGGTTCATTAGAGAATATTCTTTAGCCATTCACATTTCTGTTTTAGGTTCTATGTGATATGGATTTTAAAGGAGGTGGGTGGACTGTGATTCAGAAAAGAACTGATGGAATAATTGACTTCCAAAGAAATTGGTCAGAATACCTAGATGGATTTGGAGATCTTTCAGGTACTAATCTTCTTGCTATATATTTTAGAAATGTGTGTCTGTCTGTCTGTTAGTCTGTTTGTTCAAGAATTCCTCCTAAATGGTAAAGGGTAAGGGTACGTCTAGACTACAGGGTTTTGTCGACAGAAGTTTTGTCGACAGATATTGTCGACAAAGCTTCTGTCGACAAAGAGCGTCTAGACTACATTCAGTTCTGTCGACAAAGCAAGCTGCTTTGTCAACAAAACCCTGTAGTCTAAACACAACCCTACATGCAATGACACCTTCTGTCGACAGAACTCTGTCGACAGAAGGCGTTATGCCTCGTAAAATGAGGTTTACCAGCGTCGACAAAACTGCTGAGTCCTGTCGACGTTATGTCGACAGAACTCAGCGGTAGTGTAGACGCAGGTATAGTTTTGTCGACAAAAGTGGACTTTTGTCGACAAAACTCTGTAGTCTAGACACATCCTAAGACCACCAAATTTGGTATGCAGCTTCCTCTTACCATACCTTAAAGCAACACAAGGGTTTGATTGTGCCAAGACAATGGGATGTGCCCAGAATTTGATTGTTTCTCATAAAATGGAAAGGAAGGGGTCTGGGAGGAGGGACAGTTATACTGAAGAATGACCACAGAGTGGCAGCAAGGGGGCAGAGATGGGGACCAGGATAGCTATAACCCCAAGGGGCCAGCAGTGGGCAGAGGTGGAGAAAGGGACAGCTATTTTCTACTATATATTTCATATAGTTTATTGGTTTGTGTGTCTGTGTAAAATGTAAATGTAAAGAAGGGCTTTGGACCCAATCAGGCTGTCCTAATGCTGGTGTCACACCTATTATGGGCTACCCTGGAGTGCGACCTGGAACTGGGGTACCACTGAGCCCTCTGTCTCACCAGCCTGGGCTCCTCACACTGTGCTGCTGTGACAAGCTGCAGATCTCTCCCAGTCCTCCACTCACACAAACCTTTACACAGGTAGGGACCCATGCAGTTGTAGTTACATGAAGAAGTCTCCTCAGCTTCTCAGTCTAGGGGGACCCTAGATCCAGGGCTGGCCTTACCAGTGTCCGCCTCAGGTGCCAGGCTGTGGGGGGTACCACTAGGACCCAGAGTGTAGAAAATTGTGTTTGCTGCTGGCGCATATGTATTCTCTCTGCTATAGATGCACAGAGATGGTGGAGTGCTGTGCTGGAGGAAGGAGGGCATAAGAGACATAACAGGCAGGCAGGAGAAAAGGTGGCATGGGGTTTGAGCTCCCTGCTTCAGGTGCCAAAATGTTGTGGTCCAGCCCTGCCCAGAGTGGTACCATTTTGTCCTGGTCAGAAACCTGACTGATATTATCCAGTCTGCCACTCTCTCAGTGTAACATGGAATACATGCAAGCCATTGTTAACTGAGCTGATATTTTTCTCCAAGCAACTGACTCAAACCACACTTTTTTTTAGGTAAAATATAAAATAGATATATCAATTTCAGATAGATTTTAAGTGATAGAGGTACAGCTCAAAGAAGATTACCTAGGAAACAAACAAAAAACCATGTAAATTCTCTAAGTTTGATAGGATTTGCATCAAGCAGTGTCTCGTCCTACTAGATAATACAAACTACACACCAAGCTTCCATACATAGGCAGGCTTCCTTCTTTCCTACCTCTCTCATCCCGCCCACTTCAGTCTTTATTCCTTAGGTCTTTTCAGGTGCGGTTGTAACTTTTGGGTGGCGCTAGAGTTCACTTCATAGCCCTTCTCCAGTACCTAAAACAATAAAACCCCAACTCCCATAGTAAAGTAGCTGGAGACCCAGCATTCAATCTCTAAAGCTTTTCAGAAAGGATAGCACAGGGCCAAACTCCTGACATTCAAGTCTCAAATTGAGCTAAAGAAATGAATTTAATTAAACAACTTTATAAAATTCTATGATAAAGAAACAAATAATAATCTAATTTTTACAGTATAACATGGTTATTTCATAATCCACACACATTATCTTCATAGTTAAAGAAAACAAATTCAAATCTGAACAGTTCAGTCCCCATAGAAACACAATGAGAAGAAATTGAGAGTTCCCCAAAGGTTAGGTTGAGTTCATCTAAGCCTCAGAGTTTTTGATCACCAAATCTATACAGTCTGCTGTGCCTAAAACATCTTCCTTTCACTTGCTTGCAGGATTTTTCAGTTGGAATCCAGGCAGATTCTTCCTCCGCTGAAATCACTGCTAGCTAGTCAGATTACCAACCACTCAGTTAAGTGTATAGGTAAAAACAAACAAACAAAAAATCTCTGAAAAATGCTCCAAAGTTAGGGACAACAGTCTAGTCTCTGCTCCTAAGCTCAGCTTTTCCCAACTCACCTGGGGCAGATGCCCCCCTGCAAAACAGCTGCCCTGACCACTTGCTCTTATGACATCTGACCCTAGCAACATGGAACCTATTTGGGCAAACCCAGAATTACCACACCCAAATCCAGAAACTTCTGGGTGTGGAGTGCTAAATCTGCCAAGCAACAATGACCCAGACACAACTCACTCCTTCCTCCCTGCAATGGGTGAGTCACCATCCATCCCGTTTTTAATGGGACATGGTTGTAAGGCAGCTAGAGATTCGATGCACTCTAACATTTAGCAATGTTACTATTAAGCTTGACACTCAGTTATATGTGGGCATGTCCATAATCCACCCCATTTTTGGTACACCTGCCATGTATACTTGCATCTATATATTTATCACTTAGGCCATGTCTACGCTACTGGCTAAATTGGCACCATTTTAATCGATGCAGTGGTATTGATTTAGTGGGTCTGGTGAAGACAAGCTAAGTTGATAGGAGAGTGCTCCCCTGTCAATATCTGTATCCCACTCATAGGCAATAACTCCATGAGTACTCTGGGGCTGGAGCACTCACAGAGAAAACTTAGTGGGTACTAAGCATACACCAGCAGCCATCTCCCTCTCTATCCCTTTCCCCAAGCACTTTTCACCCCCTGGTGGCCCCTACTGACCAGCTCTTCCAGTGCTTCTGGAGCGCTGCAAACAGCAGCTTTGCAGTATTCAGGAAACACCAGAAGGAAGGGAGAGGATGGAGAATGAGGTACATTGTGGGAATGAGGTGTGGAAGAGACAGGGCAGGGTTGGGAGAAAGGGTAGTGTGGGGGTGGGAACTTTGGGATAGGGGCAGAGGATGGGTCCGGCAGGGGAAGTCAGAATCTATAATTCCACCTACGTAAGAGAGGGGAAGCTATGTCAATGGGAAATCATTAGATCTACTTACCGTGTTCATGTAGATCAGCCCTGAATAAGGAAATGTATACAGAAGAATAGAAATCATGGATTTCCATGATGAACTAGAGAACCTTCTCCTTCTTGCTAAACCTTTTAAATAAATATGTTCCTTTGAACCAGCACGATATTCATTACTTTTGGTCCAGGAAGGGAACTAGAGTGGAAAAAATGGAAGAGATAATTTTACTTTATAAATATCTAGTATATATTTGAGAGCGTGTGTTTGTCTGTTTTTCTGTTTTTTTGTTTGTCTGTTTGTTCAGGAACTCCTTCTAAACATCAGATTTGGTATACTGCTTCCTCTTATCATAACTTAGAGCAATGCAAGGGTTTGATTGGGTCAGGAAAATGGGCTGTGCCTTTAATGGGATCGCTTCTCATAAATAAGCAGAACACCAAGCAGGTGAAAGGGTCTGGGTAGGGGCTTACCTCCCCCCCAATCCAGGACTGCCCCAGTCCTAAGACTCCCACCCTCAGCCACCCTTTAGAGAAGGTGGGGGGGATTGAAGCCCTCCCCGAGGGTACGTCTACACTACAATGTTAATTCGAACTAACTTAGTTCGAATTAGTTAATTGGAACTAAGCTAATTCGAACTAACGGATCTAGACTAAAAAACTAGTTCGAATTAGCGTTTTGCTAATTCAAACTAGCATGTCCACATTAACTGGACCCTGAACCAGGCTTAAGGATGGCCGGAAGCAGTGCCGGCAGGGCATCAGAGGAGGACTTAGAGCGTGGAGATGCTGTCTCAGGCTAGCCGAGGGCTGTGCTTAAAGGGTCCCGACCCCCACCCCGGAAAGACAGTTCTCAGGGGTGCCCTGCTTGCAAAGCAGTCCTGGCTTGGGTTGCCTGGAGTACTCACACTGGGCACATCACAGCACTCGGCCATCAGCCCGGCTGCACTTGCCGCAGGCTGCCATCTGGGGAGAGGGGACAATCGGGGGGCTGCAGGAGAGGTTCCACCCCAAAAGCCCACAGAGCCAGCCCAGTCCTCCCCATCGGGGGCTCGTGCCCCATTCCTCCCTCACCTCCATCCACTTACCCTTCCCTAGCCCCCCTTCCTGATGTACAACATAAAGAAAACGTGTGGTCAAAAATAGAATCTCTCTTTATTGAACAAAACTGGGGGAGACTGGGAAAAGGAGGTGGGAGAGGGGAAGAGAGAGGCTGGGAGAGGGGAGGGCAACTAAAATGATCAGGGGTTGGGAACAGGTCCCACATGAAGAGAGGCTAAAGAGACTGGGACTTCTCAGCTTAGAAAAGAGGAGACGGAGGGGGGACAGGATAGAGGTCTCTAAAAGCAGGAGTTGGGTGGAGAGGGTGCATACAGAAAAGTTCTTCATTAGTTCCCATAAAGAAGGACTAGAGGACACCTAAGGAAAGGAATGGGTAGCAGGCTTCAAACTAGTAACAGAAAGTTGTTCTTCACAAAGCAAAGAGTCAACCTGTGGAACTCCTTGCTGCAGGAGGCTGTGAAGGATAGAACTAGAACAGAGTTTAAAGGGAAGTGAGATCAAGTCATGGAGGTTGGGTCCATGGAGTGCTATTAGCCAGGGGGTAGGAGTGGTGTCCCTGCCCAAAGTTTGTGGCAGGCTGGAGAGGGATGGCACGAGACAAATGGCTTGGTCCCTGTCTTCGGTCCATCCCCTCCAGGGTCCCTAGGGGTGGCCGCTGTCGGCAGACACGCTACTGGGCTAGATGGACCTTTGGTCTGACCCAGGACGGCCATTGTAAACTCAGGGCTCAGGGTCGGGGTTCTCACTGGACCCCCTTGATTTTCATGCACACTTGCTCCTGGGTGGCCAGGCTGGCAGCTCTCCTGCCCAAGCCGGCCACTTTCCTGTGCCTAGTGCGGAGATCGTGGACGAGGTCCACGATGTCCGCACTAGCCCAGGTGGGTGCCCGCCTCTTGCGGTCCTGGGCAAGCTCCCAGGAGCTGCCAGCCTGGTCCCAGGAAGAGGGGGAGGGCTGGGGGGCATCGGGTGGGTGGCTCGATCCGTGCCAGGTGCAGGGTCTGCCGGCTGGGTGCTGGCAGGCTTGCACCTGGCACGGGCACCGTAGCCAGCCCGTGCCCCTTTAAGGGGTCCGGGGCCGGGAGGGGGGCAGAAGAGTTTCCCTGGTGTTGGCCAGAGTGGCCACCAGGGAAACCTGGGGAGGGCTAGCCTCCCACTAGCTCGAATTAAGGGTCTACACAGCCCTTAATTCGAACTAGTAAATTCGAACTAGGCTTAATCCTCGTGGAATTAAATTCGAGCTAACGGAGCGCTAGTGTAGTGCCTATGAAAGTTAGTTCGAACTAACGTCCGTTAGTTCGAACTAACTTTGTAGTGTAGACACACCCCCAGATTCATACAGGGATATTGCTGCTTGTTTCCCTTTGTCAGGGAACAAGGGGAAAGTGCACAGTTTGCTGCATTTCTCCCTTTGGCTGGAGGAAGAGAGCAAACAAGCTGTGCACTTTTTGCTCTTGCTCCCTGACAGGGACAGGAAGGGGAATAGCAAGTAGCATTGGTATGACTCTCAGATGGGGCTTTGGCTCCCCTGCCCAACTTCTTACACACACACACACACACACAATCTCCTGCCCAGAGCCTCTCCTCACCCCCTCATATTCCCAGCCCCTTGCTCTGAGCCCCCCTCTGGACCTGAATAATTCAGGGTAAATGTGCTAGTATATATATAATTAAAAGTTTATAGTATTTTTCTTTTTCAGGAGACTTTTGGCTTGGACTGAGGAAAGTTTTTCATATAGTAAATCAGAAAACAACAAGTTTTATGCTTTATGTGGGTCTGGAATCTGAAGATGACACATATGCCTATGCATCTTATGACAGCTTTTGGCTAGAGGATGAAGCATGTTCTTTTAAAATCCATTTTGGGCGTTATTCAGGAAATGCTGGTAAGGCTCTGCTCTTAAGTATTACAAGACATTTGTCTAAAACAATGGAGATGATGAAATATTTAGTCAGGATAATGTGAAAAATGTCCATTTCTAATTTATGTTTTTCTATAATATATTTTATTTCTGTGCAAGATGAATTTTAAAGCTTTCAAAGTGAGTGACTGTTAATGCTATGGCGATTGGTTCAACCAAGGTTTATTTTTTAGGCATAATCCACCCTTCCCACACCAAAAAGGAACCTGAGCAAATTCAGGTCAAGAATGAGATGTGTAATATAGTAAAGGGTCTGATTCTTTAGCTGTTCTGGGCCAGATCTAAAACCTATTGAAGTCAATGAGAGTCTTTCAGATGTTAGTCACCTTGCTTAATGGACAATTGGAGGAGGGGAGATGCCATGCTGCTGAGGGTGAAAAAACTGAATAAAGCAGATCAGGCCCAGAGTGTGTAGAACTTCCATTGATGTCAAAAGTAGTGAATGAAATCACAACTTAATTACTTGTATCTAAGAGCACATTTATCCTTGCAGGAAGATTGGGGCTGTAGCAGTCGATCTTCCGGCATTCAATTTAGCGGGTTTAGTACGGACTCCCTAAATTGAACACTGAGGGCACCCCCTCTCATGAGGAGTAAGGGAAGTTGACAGGAGCATTTCCCCCATTGATCTCCCACTCTGAGGATGGTGCCAAAGCTCAACTGTCGCTGGAATTGTGTACCTTAAGCTTTCCTTTGGCTGTAATGTAGACCTTCCCTAAGAGGCATTAAGGCCATTCCAAAAAGGTAAAGGGATATTTCAATTTTCTATTAACAATCCTACAGTACACTTCATCTTATTTCAGTCCCTTTGTTTTCCCCTCACATTTATTAAAATGTCTGAGTATTCCTTCAAAACTGTACTGATGGTTGGTCACTTCTCTTCACACTCTAAGTAGCCAGTGGTAGATTGTCCTTTGTTTTATTTAACCTGATGTTAAAGTACAGGACTGGTAGTCAAGAACTCCTGTGTTATACCATAGTTTACATCCCAACTCTCTTAGGGGCCCAGAGCCATTCACAAAGGACCACATTTTGAAAGTGACCTCATATTTTAGTTTTCAAATGGAAACAGCTGTCACTTGGAGCTGTGGTTGCTCAGCACCTCTGAAGAATCATGCTGAAGATGTGTGGGCACTCAGAATTAGAGGCCACCACTGAAAATCTGAATCTCCTCTTTTCTCTGTTTGCCCATCACTTGTTTCTGTCTTTGAGGACAGAAAGCTCTATATTATATGCATGCTACGTGTTTATTGTTAAAAAGCTACTCTGAAGCCTTGATCTGTTCTGACTTTTTCCACATTCTCCAGCATTTTTCAGTATTCCCTTGGTTTCAGTAATAACTATTCCTTACATAGCTGAATTCCAAGTACCTTAGCTCAACTTTTGGGGCTATTCACACTGCAGGAAGTTGAAGGGGACTCTCTCTTAGACTTCCCTTACTCCTTGTGGAAGTAGGACTACCAGCATCGGCCGGAGTACTCCTCTTATTTCAAATTAGTGTGTCTTCACTAGACGCACTAATTCGAACCCTGGAAGATTGACTGCGGCAGCTTCAATCTCTGTAGTGGAGACATGCCCTTACCTGTTACTATTGTTGTGTAATGTCATAGCACATCATCCTGGATTGTTGAAGAAATGCAGCTTTCTAAAATCCAAGAATAGAAAAATGCAAATTGTACATTAAGCAGAGGGCTTTGTTTAGGTACAAAAATCACTGTCTTAACGTTTATGACAGGTTCTTCTTCTGTTTCACTCAGGGGATGCATTTCGGGGTTACAGCAAGGAAGATAACCAGTATGCAATGCCCTTCAGCACATTTGATGTTGATAATGATGGATGTAACCCAGTATGCTCTATCCAAGAGCAGCCTGTGAAGAGTTGCAGTAATTTCAGTGATAACACTGGCTGGTGGTTCAATCAGTGTGGCCTTGCAAATCTTAATGGTGTTCATCGGTTCACAGGGAAGTTTCTTGCTACAGGGATTCATTGGGATACTTGGACAGAGAATAATAAACCAGTCAGAATTAAATCAGTTTCAATGAAAATTAGAAGAACCTATAATCCCTATTTCAAATAGCAGCCTATAGAATTATAGTACTTCTAGCAAGTATGCTGTTGATATATCAGCATGATCTGAAAGCTTCTCATAGTTAAATAATCCAGTGTTATGAATTATGCCATTTACATACAGTACTACTTTATTAATTGCACTTTTCAGCATTACTTAATCAATTTTATTTCCATTATGAAATTATGTCTGATGATATTATTATACTACTGCATGTCAATATAGCTCAGTTGTTTAGCACCCTCACCTTTGCATGAGAAGGTCCTAGGTGTAGTATTCATCATATGAGCACAAGGCTTTTCCTATTCATTAATCTCTCTTCAACTGCCTCTTATGAAATTCTCAGAACTGGTGGCAGCATTTTAACACACACATCTTTGCATTTCATAATCTAAAAAAATATTGAAGTGACAGTAATGCTGACTTTTGAAATTAGTTTCTCTGCATATCTAAATTGCCAAGAAACAATCAGGAAAAAAATCTATCATCAGTAAAATGTGGCAAAACACATATATGTCATTAAGATAATTTTAGAAAAACACATGATTTCCTTTATCTGGCATAAATTTTCAGAAGCCTGCAATCCTTACATAAGCAAGACTTCCACTAACTTTAATAAGAGCCCCATTATAGCAGGCTCAACATGGCGAAGAATATTTTCAGGTGTGATTTGTACTTCCATGCTCAAATTATGGCTCTGTTTTGCATTCACAGATGCATGTTTGATTTCTGTAATAATTGAGCCCTTAATATGTAAAATGGATTGAGGTTTTTTTAATGGCCTAAAATTGTGAATTCAGTAAAAAATGCATGCATGCATGATCATCAACAGAAGTTGTAGGAATTTCAAAATGTCTTTGAAACTGTAATTTTTGGAAATATGGACCTGATCTTGCATCTTTCACTCTGTATGAGTGCCTATTAAATAGTCTGGATTGTTTGTATTTTTTTCTGTCAGTAAAAATGTAGGACTATCAATAAAACATTAACGTTGTAAGTGCATTTGTTGTTTCAGAGTGTGGCATCATCATTGCACAAAGTATATGTCCCTGTTTAGCCCATTTTGCTTCAGTTTTAGTCAAGAATATAGATTGTAAGCAATGCGGTAAACCTAAGAAATTGGTGTCTATGGACCACGCTCTTCATTACTTTGCACCTTAGGTTATCATTTACATCTGTAAAAAGTGAGAGTAAAATGTGGTCGTTTCAGAATGCTCATGTTTTTCATCAGTTGAAAATATTTTGCAGGGGGAAAATCAGGCTCTGTAGGTATTATTAGCCTGTGTGCTTTCCAAAGTGGCCACAGAAGTTGCCTGGGAAGCAAGAATGATCTAAGTGTTGCATTTTTGGTATGCTAAAAAGTATCAAAATTATAGTCAACTGCAGCAAAGTTATAAGAACATAACAATGAACATAATGTATCAGAATGTCCATCTAGTCCACTATCCTGTCCTGTGGCTAAAGCCAACTGCTTCAGAAGAAACTAACAGAACAGGCAATCATCATGTGATCCAGTCCCAGTCTGCGACAAACAGGCCAGTGATGCTCAGGGGTGCCGTGGCTTCCCTGACTACTTTGGCTAATAGTCACTGATGGACTTATATAGTTCTGTGTGAACCCAGTTATAGTTTTGGCTTTCAAAGTATCCCCAGGCCATGAGTTCCACAGACAGAGACAGTGCATTGTGTGAAGAAATACTTCCTTTTTTTGGTTTTAAATCTGTTATCTAGTCATTTAATTGGGTGACCCTTGTTTGTTTTGTTTGAATGTGAAGGAGTGAATAACACATCGTTACTCACTTTCTCCACAGTCAAGGATTTTATACATCTCTCTATCTTACCCTGTCTTAGTTGTCTTTTTTTCTAAGTTGACAATTCCCAGTCTTTTTAGTATCTCTTCATATAAAGACTGGTACATACACCTAATCATTTTGTTGCCCTTCTCTGTACCTTTTCTAAACGAATATATCTTTTTTCAGATGGGGTGACCAGAACTGCACTTTTACTCACACAATTGCTGCCTTAACTTTGCCCATATACCAAGATGGGCTTTTTGCCAAAGTTATCTTCATTCTTGATTGTGATCCAATAGAATGTTCTTAAGGAATTGACAATTTTCATTCAAATTTTTCTGTCTAAATATAACCTCTCGGTGAGTTTGCTCTTAGTCTTCCTCACTTTTGGTATATTAGTCATTTCAAACAACAAGGGCATAGATTATTACATGGGACATCTTGATAGCATAAGAGAAATGAGAGATTCTAAATTAGAGTTCTTCTAAATAGCCTGGGCCTGTTTTTCTTGCACTTAATTAAAATGGAGAATTACAGGGTATAGGGAATAATTTCCAGAAACACTGGGTGCAGGTGAAAACAAGCAGAGGATTTTTTTGGTTCACACAGCTGGTGGAGTACCCATCAGGCATTAACCTAGTGAGCATTGACTTAACCAAAACATACATGTCATGATATAGGTAGCAGATGGATGGAAGGGAAGTGATTTGATAGGTCTAGCAGCAGCAATGAGATATGCACATAAGTGCATGAACTACAAAAGTTACACAGTATCTCCGCCCATTGCCAATTAAACATGTTATCACTAATACAGGTAATTATTCCTAACAAGCTAAATAAGCCAGCATAAACAGGATGGATGTCCCCAAAATGGACATGTTGATGTTAATTTGTTTTGCTGAAATTGTGATGTCTAGTGTGAGATGACTCCTTCCTTGTGTTGGCACAGTCCTTGGGATCCAAGCTGATTAATCCAAGCTGAAATTACAGGAGACAGTGAGAAAACCGTGCAGCCTGGCTGGTACCAGCCAGGCCTTATCAGAGTGAGAGTGAGGCCGCGGCTCTTTTGGAATGTAGTTGCCAGGGGAACCAGTGTCACGCACAGCCTGTCTGTATGCTTGCTAGGCCTGGCCTAATGATTTCGGATGTGAGTACTCAGTTCTCAGCAAGATACCATGGACTGCCTCAGTTTACCCTACACAGGGACACTGAACCATATGCAAGTCTTTTGATAGCCAGATGTTTACAGCCAGTGACCAAATGTCCATCAGCCTACCTACTGATTTGTTTTGCCTCAACAGAAAAAATAATCTGGAGGCTATGACACATTCAGAGAAACCAACTTTAATGTACTAAGCCAAATGAAGTTTGGTAACGATATTTAATATCCATTCCAGGAATAACAATCCAGACTATAGATGTAATCTCTAAGGGTATGTCTACACTACCACCCTAGTTCGAACTAGGGTGGTAGTGTAGACATACCCTTAGAGATTACATCTATAGTCTGGATTGTTATTCCTGGAATGGATATTAAATATCGTTACCAAACTTCATTTGGCTTAGTACATTAAAGTTGGTTTCTCTGAATGTGTCATAGCCTCCAGATTATTTTTTCTGTTGAGGCAAAACAAATCAGTAGGTAGGCTGATGGACATTTGGTCACTGGCTGTAAACATCTGGCTATCAAAAGACTTGCATATGGTTCAGTGTCCCTGTGTAGGGTAAACTGAGGCAGTCCATGGTATCTTGCTGAGAACTGAGTACTCACATCCGAAATCATTAGGCCAGGCCTAGCAAGCATACAGACAGGCTGTGCGTGACACTGGTTCCCCTGGCAACTACATTCCAAAAGAGCCGCGGCCTCACTCTCACTCTGATAAGGCCTGGCTGGTACCAGCCAGGCTGCACGGTTTTCTCACTGTCTCCTGTAATTTCAGCTTGGATTAATCAGCTGTAGTTTGTGCTACAATGAACAATTGGATGTAAGCTGGTAAATCTCATTTTGGTCAATGCAAATAATTTTGACCCAATTTATGTATGCTTCAGAGGTAATTCGGCTTAATTGAGTGTCATTGTTCTGCGATTACCAGAGTTGAATGGATGATAAGAAAGTCTAGGGACTCTACCTAAGACCTGCTATTGGGACAGAGGTAGAAAAAAATACAGTGCAGATGCTGTATTGGCAGTGAGGTACCTTGCTTCCCAGTGAACCCACTAAAGATCTGGGTTAAGGGGTGGAATGGGGCACATAGCATTATAGAAGTGGCAGTGAGTGCCTGTGAACACCTGACTAACTCTGAGGTTTCACTCAGGAGGGCTAACAGAGTGGGGTACAGGGGAGGGAGAGGGTTATGATATGCTTAAGAGACATTTGTGTATCAGACTTTCCCACTGGTGGGCAACTGAGACAAATGTCATGGCTTAGCTCACCCCAGGGTTGAGTTTTTCCTCATGGTTGCATGCTTTTGAAGGTGGTTGTAGTATTTTCTCATATTGATGCTTGGCTTCCTTTCCCTTTTTATTAAAAGTTTTTAGAAAACATGAACATGGAGCTCAGTACTGACATGTCATATTATCTAAGGTCACTGTAAAAAATAAATCTCATTATACTTTACAAACTGCAGGAAGAGTTACAAACTAGAAAAGGAAACCAGCTTTTGAAATACGGTCAATGAATTATAATTAGGTTTAGCCACAAAGATCTATTATTATCCATCATGAGATGTTCTTATTATAGGGAACACAGTCATAAAACCTTATATCACAAGAAAGCAATATTCGTGGCTGTATTTCATGCATCAGGCTTGTCATAAAAATATAATGTCTGCTCCTTTGATGAAGAGAGTATATTACATGAATTTAAACTTTGGCAAAGAAGCTTCTTTGAAATGTTTGAAAACTGTTGTTCTTCAAAACTGAGCAAGCTAAATATTTATATTTGATTAAGATCTAGTTATTTCTTTCAAATGTGAGACACATGAAGCAAGAAAGAGAGAGAGAGGGAGAAACTTTTCAAGACCACAATTAAAATTGACTTGTGAGCTTGTTTCCCATGTTTTCTCCATTGCCTAAGACTTTCCTTTGGTTCACAATGTTTGTACATGTTGGATTTTATTTTTATAAAAGGCTATGCTCAGCAGGTAGCTTGCCTCACAATAACAGGAGAGCTCAGAACCAGTTACCAGGCTCAGCTTTCTGGCCAATCTGATTTTGCCATAAAGACCATGCAAAACTCAGTAATATCAGTTTGCAGAGGAGAAGAGTGAGGGGGAATTTGATAGCAGCCTTCAACTTCCTGAAGGAAGGTTCCAAAGAGGCTGGAGAAAGGCTGTTCTCAGTAGTGACAGATGGCAGTACAAGGAGCAATGGTCTCAAGTTGTGGTGGGAGAGGTCCAGGTTGGATATTAGGAAACACTATTTCACTAGGAGGGTGGTGAAGCACTGGAATGGGTTACCTAGGGAAGTAGTGGAGTCTCCATCCCTAGAGGTGTTTAAGTCTCAGCTTGACAAAGCCCTGGCTGAGTTGATTTAATTGGGATTGGTCCTGCCTTGGGCAGGGGCCCGGACTTGATGGCTTTATAAGGTCTCTTCCAGCTCTATGGTTCTATGATTCTGTGATTCTAAGGCAGAAAGATTTGAATGTACTTGAAAAATCCAAAGAGAAACAGCCCAAATGACTGAATTTCACCTGGTTTGAGGCTGAAATAATGTGATGCTGAGGAGCTCTGCATGGCTTCTATTTAAATCTATAAGCCAGGATTTTAGTATGAGGAATGGAGCTGGAAGAAGGAGTTCTAGTTTAAAGACAGACCTAGTGTGGTGTGGTACCGGGCCCTCAGGAATGCAAAAAGGGATTAAGCTGATCTGTCTCAAATCATAGGACCCCAATATGTAGCACTGGTCCTTGAACATACTCCTATATCTCTGCCTGCTGGTCAACTCATTTCTTCATAAGGCCTTCATATCTACTGACTTGGTCCACTACTACCTCTTGATGACTTTGTTGTGGAGTTGAACGCATCATCCATTCCTTCTATAATTAGTCATAGGACCTATTGATAATACATACATTCTGAAGCCCCAGAAAGATGGCGTAGCAACAGAAAAATGAAAACCTTTTAGGTCTTGCTACTGCTCTGTACTTGAAGTGAGAAAACAGCTTGTTACCCTGAAGACTCTACACTGTTGCTAGCTA